ATGGCTGCGACTCCTGTGGGGGCTGTACCGTGGGCGACCTTGATTTTCTTTTCCTGCTTGTTCTCCCAAAAGTAGTCAGAAAGCTATAGCAACCTTCTTTCATCCTTTTGAATTATTAAAAAGTAAATAATAATAGTTATACATGGGCAAATTAAGCCAAATAACTACACTTTACCATTTGGTACTGGTTAAGGTGTGGCACAGTGTTCACTATGTGTCAGCAACTCAAGCTGGTGTGGCAGTCACTAGTAGTTCTTATCAGTTAAATCCGCATTTCAGCTGCTCTGATTTATCATGGGAGCTAAATCATCTCTCAGCAACTGAAGGATTCAGGGCAGAGCAGTGGTTTTGCCTCTCCTCAGGTGCACCCTTAACTCATCTTATTGGTGGTTGGCCTTTAAGGCTGAATTTGTAGATATGCACATTTTTAATTATGTAACTGGATGCACCCGGTGAAGTCAGTAGGAATTATTGTTTTCCTTGTCATTATCAGGAAGTTAAGTAGAAAAAATTACAAAGTTACAATTTAAAATGCATCAAGGAGAATAGCTAAGTTTTGTGTAACCCCCGTTTGTCCAGTTTGTGCATGAAGGACCTGGTTTGCTTCTGGCTAAATCAGTATGTACCACCAAAAATCTAATCTCGGCAGGGATCAGTCGTCTCTTGGGCTGTACACTATTTTCTGATCATCATTGATTATTTTATTAAAATTCTAATGACTATGCAGTGTATTATGAGGAAGAGTGCTTCACCGGCAGGAGCGACTAGATGATTCAATAAAATTAGGAGATGAAAAAGACCTATGAAACAATTGTTTTAACGATTGGTTTTTGGTACTGCTGCAGATCTGTCCATGTATGGCCAGATTGCACACTGTGTGAGTTATGTTATTTTTTATTTTACTGCCTGTCACAGAGTTGAAATTGTATATGCCAAAAATATATGCAGTTTACTTGCACTCACCTGTGGTGGATCTTCCTGTTAAGAAAGACATTAGAATGGAGTTATAACTCAGACTTCTATGGTTGAATTTGGCTCCACTGCAGTCTTCCTGAAAATGGTATACAAGCTCACTCTTCCCCTGAAGTGGCATCTCACTGCCTAAAGTAAACTTCATGTAACTAGTGGGTTAAATCTAAATAAAGTTAGCCTCAGAATTTTTTGTTTTACTTTATCCTTAGCCTTCTCCAGCACAGGGTTTGACTGCCACACTTCCCCTGTATTCAGTCCTGCTAATCCAGAGAGCTCAATTGAGGATTGTCTAGCTCATCTTGGAGAGAAAGTGTCCCAGGAATTGAAGGAACCTCTACACAAAGCACTGCAGAGTCTGCTCAGCAAGTAAGTTACCATCTGTTTCCTCAGATGGCAGGCACACCCTCTTTAAATGCTGTGTGTTGCTAGAATGCCAACAATTTGACTGAACTGCCTTCTGATACTTATTTCTTTTCTGATCTTCCTTTACTTGCTCTCTTTATAAGAATACTACTTTGCTGTATTTAACATTACGTTGGGGAGTATTTTTCAGACTATTAACCTTTTAACTTACGAGCACTGAGCCTACTTGATTGAGTTGACATGCTTGAAACTGCAGGTTATACTGGTAGCTGACAGTCACCAGATTTGCTGGATGCTGGAGTATAGCCAGATTTGTTTTCCCTACCCTATAGTTAAAAGCAATGTTAGGGCTCTGGATGTGGTATTACAGTACTAAGGGGCTAATGTTGTTGATATCTCTGTATTTTAGGTACCCCAGATGTTGCTAAACTTGTCTTGGGTTGCACATCTGCCAATGGAATTACTTCCACATTTTCATAGTGGGAACCTACCTCTCAGCCTGTCACACTCCTGGCCTTTAAAATGAGGGACAAGTAGGAAATAATAGAGAAGTTACATTCAGGTAGCACAGAAACGTGTTTAAATGTAAGTCAGTTTCTTTTTCTTAAAAAAATATGTATAATTAGTGGGAGGTGGGTTCTCAAGGAGCTGGCATAAGACAGGAAAAGAGTTTTGACATGCTGATTCACTGTGTCTTTTCAAGTGAATGTGGGCACCTGTGCTACCCATAGTGGCAAGGACTGTGGCCTTTCATTGTAGTGATGATTGGCCGTGTCTACGTGCGATGCTGACTGTGCAGGCATTCAACACTTGTATAAACAAGTAAAAGTTCATACCACTTGTAGAAACAGGTACTAAATGACTGCATGGTAGCCGGAGTTACTGAGTAGTAGCTTTGCCAAAAAGCTTTTAGGTGATGCTGGTTGTACAGTAGCTCATTACTATTGCACAGTAGCATAGCAGTATGCTTCCTACCATGCCATGTTGGCCATTGTCTATTGGACTAAATCCTTGGCATACTTGTCTTGATTAAAGTGGTTGATAGTCCCAGTAACTCTACAGTGCCTGTCATTTTTCTAGTATGAATTATCAGCCTGAGTTTCGAGTGACTTGGATAATTTTTTTCTGCCTATATAACATTGCATTTGTTGTCCAGAATTTGTCCATAGAAAGCATGAGTAGAAGCAGCCAGTTGTCAAGGCTGTATATAAAATACAACTGTGAAGACTACTGTAGAAAACTTAGCTTGGTTGTGTCTGACTTGTGTGTCTAACTTGTGGATTGATAGCCTCATGTCTCTGACACGAAACCAAGTTTTAGTGGTACTCGACCCAGATCTCTTCTCCTATTCCTGTTCCTGCAGAGTTCAGACACCTTGATATTGAAATCCTATAGTTCAATTGTATAGTTTAAACTTCAGTTCTCATAGACACTAGAGAGCATATCTGTGCCTTAATAGAGGAAGTAACTTCCAGCTTTGGTGAGGTAATGAAATGTATAAGTAGTTCCTTGAGCAGTGTTTTGCAGTGAACCAAGTGGCACAGCTGTTTTAAACATGAAATTGGTGTCAGTGGAGGGAGAGTGGGAGTTGCATTTTCTTGGGCATGAAAACAGTGTCTGGATTTATTTGTTCCTTGGTCTATCCAATGTAAGTATATAGTCATCCATCCAAGTTTCCCCTTGGAAGCTCGTAATTGCAATATCCGCTCTAATGTCCCGTTTGCATTGCTCATAGAAATGAAATTCTGCCTTGTGCATGATGGTTAACAGAGCTACCTCTATGCTGTCACACTAGGTTAGGTGGATAATTATAATTTCTTTCTCTCATTATCTTCTTTTGAGCAAGAATAATGAATACTAGCTACTTGGTTGGTTCCATTTTACCACCATGCATCAAGAAGAAATTGAGAACTATACTTATAAGCTTTCCACAGGTTAACAGTGGCTTGGATTACCTCTGTCAGAGAATCATAGACAAGTAGGGCTGGAATGGACCTCTAGAGGTCATCTAGTTCAATCCTCTGCCTGAGGCAGGATAATCCCTATCCAAACAAGCCTGTACAAATCCATAATCTAACACATTATTAAAACTACCATCAACAAAAACATGTCATAATCTAATTTGACGTAGGTAAAGAAAGTGGACTGTGGCAGCCAACATCTTTCCTCTGTGAAAGATTGTTAATTTATGCTCAAGAGATCCCAGGAAGAAGGCCACATCCCCTGCTACACAGGAAGGCAAAAACCTGCACGGTCTATACCAGTCTGACCATGAGATGAAAATTCCTTCATGATCCCAAATATGGCAGTAGATCCAATCTTGGAAAATACCTCCTAACCAGGAACTTCCTGATTTTAAATCCCAGCAGAAGCAATGGCACACCCTAGTCAAAATCCCTCACCTTGGCTGCAGCCAACACCCAAAGGTAACTGTGCACACATACGGAAGTCTTGTGGATCTTTCGTTTGTGTAGTAAAAGCAATCTGCTCAGACAGGTTGTGCTGTATGCTTGGCACAAAGTAGTCTTTGTTGCAGGTGTTTACAAATTGTCAAAACCAGTTGACCCATCTGCATGCTCCTTTAGAAATACACAGTGAAATGTATTTTTCATGGGATGCCCTTATAGAGACAGGGAGGTTGGTTGGTTGGTTTGTTTTTCCTTGCTTTTGATTTCCTTTTTTTTCTTGAAAGGAGGTAATGAAATGTTTTGCCAGGGAATCATTTGCTTTTTGTAAGATGATAGGCTTTTCCCCTCTAATTCCCTGGAAGTTTACTTTGTTGTACCTAGAGAATTATTGGATTATAGCACTGCAGTTGACTTTTGACTTTTAGTTGACTGTTAAGAGATGCTTTCATTTCAAGCTTTATTTTGACATGCTTATTTTAACTATTTAAAAAGTTACCCTTTGATCTTAATTATCTTATGCTCTTACTTAGTGATAACAATGCCCTACACCTTTCTTGGGAAGGCTGGTCAAATTCTTATCCAAGAATGAGAGACAGTAGTTTCAGAAATACTTTTTTTAGGGATAAGTGTGCTCTGGGAGCATGCATTGATTTTAAAAAAGGAAGATAAAGGTCTGTAGTTGTGTAGGAGGTAGTTCCTTTTGACACATTTTAAATTGCTTGGTGTTGAAGTAACACAGGGGTGGGCAATTATTTTGGCTGGGGGACCACTTAGGGAGTTTTGACAAGCTGTTGCTGGCTGGGTCAGCACCCCTCTGGCCTGGGGCAGAGTTGTGATCCACTCCCTGCATGGCCCTGCCTGTCCCGCTCCCAAATATTGCTCCCTGCCCACCTGTGGCCCCATCCCATCTGTCCAGCGAGGCACACCCTGCCCATGGTGGGTCCCAGGTTAGTCTCCATGGAGATCCCACCTGCTTGCCTGCTCCATCCGTCAGCCCTGGTGGTGGATGCAGGGTGGACGGGCTGGGTCTGGTGTCAGCAGAGACAGTGGCAGCAGAAGACAGAAGGAGCTACCACCCCTGGGGTTGCCTGCAATTTGAGTCCAGTTGCCATGCCACCCCAGCCCCACTGTGTACCCAGGCATGGTGGGACCAGCCACGCATGCAGCGGCCCAGGCTGCCCCCCCACACCTGGGCCAGGAGGCAGGGGTGACTGGTGTCTCCTGAGTCTGGGTGGGGCACACAATTTGTGGGTGGGCCCAGGGGTGGGCCAAAAGCCCCATATGCACTCCTATACTTATGTGCCACAGCTTAGTGCCCCCCAACACGCCCCCTGGCCCATGCGGCAAAAAACTGCCTGGTGCTGAGTTGGTGGCTAATCTCAGGGGGGGCACGTACCAGTTGCCTGTGCCAGGAGGGGCCGAGGGACCTGCCATGGGCTGGATGAAATCCCTTGGCAGACCAGATCTGGCCTGCAGGCCATATTTTGCCCACCCCTGAAGTAACACAAAACACACAAATCTTAAAAAGAATACATAGCAAGCTATGAAGATCTTGGCATGAGTTGTTAATTTGTCTTCCATATCCTAGAAAGACATGCAAGTAAGTGATTATCTACATCTTTGGGAATCTAGAGAAACTTCTACCCGGAAGTGATTCCATTCAGTTTTACAGTGCTGATAAGTCATTACATGCTGCATTACAAATTTTAGAATATCTTCCAAATGGTTTGGACATTTCAGTTAAGGTACTAAGCTCAACAGCCCTTTCCTGCAATGATTTAAACCTATTTGTTTCTAGGGAAGAAACTTAGAACTTGTCACTTTTTCCAGCGCTAATGTACTAAACTCCACTAACTGTATTGTAAATTTATAAGTACATCCTTTGGGGTCATAGCATACGGGATGTGTGCATGGCAATTGAAGGGGCCTTTCAGTGTATAGCTATCAGAATTGAGAGATTTATCTTTGTCTGAGACCTTTCTTAATTAAGCATGTATTGACTGAGTTAGCATTTGGATGGATGATCAAATGAGAATACCTGATATTCTGGGGGAGCTTGTTTTTTCTGATGGCAAAGATTATTTTGATATAGAATATTACCCAGTAAATTCAGTTACTTGTAGTCACTTTTCTCAAATGCCTAGTAACAATGTTGTACAGTGTATTGGGGGAAGACTGGTTTTATCCCTACCACTGTTGTTTTGTCCACATATTAAAGTTGGATAAAATCAGAACTTCTATAGCCTGCAGTCATATGACCACAGAATATATTTGAATCCCTTTTCAACTTAAGCAAGTTTGGAATTGGTAGGAAAAGGTGTACCACATCAAGCCTCTCTAAACAGCAGCTCCAGTCTGGTACATAATCTCCTAATAATTATCTTTCTGAACTTGATAATACTCTTCCTAACCTACTGATTCATTTAAACTAGCTTAAAAAGGAGCCAAAAAAGTTAAGGCATTGTATTTAAAATAGCAAGTCATGCTATCGGTCCCACTATGAGCCTTAACTGGTCTTCTACTTGTGCTCACTACAATAATGGTTTTAGTTGCATGATCATATTTCATTGGGTAATATGAGATGCTATTTTGCAAATGAAATCAAATGAAAAGGTAAAACATCTTTTGTTACTACATATATAAGCATAATATATCATTAGATCATACAGTGCTACCAGCTGGATGTAAACAAGAGGTTCCTGTTTCTGCTACCCAGAATCTTTTTCTCTGTTTAAACGAGATCCTGGCCTTTATCTTGACCCTGGTATTACTGTGGGAGCAGTTTCCCTGAAGTATGCTGGTCAGTGCTTCAGTGGTTTTACCTGTATGTCAGAGTTTCCTCCAGTCACAAGAGGGAAGAATTGCACGTGAGGAAAATTTGTTAGCATGTCCACTGGCTTTAGAGAGAGATGGAAATGCTCCTGTGTTCCCTGAAAGAGCTGTGGTAGGTAGTGTGTCACTTTGGCAGAGGTTATGTTTTGCAACCTCTTCCCAAACAAAAAAAAAATTCCTTTTTCCCATCCTAAAATGGAGAGAATACAAAAAGTACATCATCCTCATCCCAGTATTTAGAAAGAGAAGGATTTAGCAATTCTAAAACAAAAGGTCCTAGGGCATTTATATTTATATGCAAAAGGTTGATTGTGTAATCAAAAGTACTTCATCTCCCATGACTAATGCTTTAACCCTAATGCAACATTAACATTTTTCAAATAATCAATGCTTATAAGTAATCTTTTACTTGCAAGTCTCTCTGGTTAAACCTCAAGGTGCAGCAGATTTCCTTTTAGAGCTTCATAACCTTTAGAATCAGGAATTCCCTCCTAAAGATGTGATAAAAAGGAAAATGGGCATTTTTATAGCAGGTGAGTGGGTTTAGTAATTTAGTGCCCTGTTTCAGATGGTAGCCTACATTAGGTTCTTCACTTAGTAAAAGCCCTGTGGCTCATCTAACTGAGTGAATGATATGATGCTATTGACTTAGTGAAATGTCTTCTTGACCCCATCTTGGTCATGATTTATATCCTCAAGCATGAGATTCGATAGGCCTTGGAATTGTCTTCGCTAGTATAATAGCTTATGCTTGCAGCGAGTATGTGACCATTTAGGCACCTGGGAATAAGAACTCTTAAAAGTTGTTTTTTTCCTATTTTTCTCTGTATAACTTTTAGTGTTGTTTTAATTTTTACAGACCAGTGACTTACCAGGAATACCGAGAACGTACTCAGGAGGCAGCTGCTCATGCCAGTGGATGGAGCAAGGTACTAATCACATTGTCTTGACTTTAAGGTCTTAACAATTTGAAGCTAACTGAGAGGCCTTTCTCTACAATAGTCCCATTGTAGGGTAAGCAAAAATTGTGGACTTCAGATATTTAGGAGTAAAACAGGGCCAGGACTAAACAAAATACAATTGGAAACTTTTGTCTGATAACTTGCCCTTTGAAATGGTAGGTCTTTAGATGTTGTATAATTTTTAAAGTTTTTGTTAGACTTTATTTAATAGATCTTTTATTTGTTAAATTTACCACCTTATGCCACAGTATTGTCTAAGTACTGTATTTACTTGAATTGAAGATGACCCTGCAATAATTAGATTCTGTCCATGGAAAATTTATAAATTTTCCAATCTTTTTCCACAGATAGAATCTAATTATTGGAGGATCATCTTAAATTCATCCCTGTCACAACTGCAGTGGTAGGGGGCAGGCAGTGGGGGAGGCAGTAATGGGATAGGCAGTGAGAGGAGGAGTGTGGGATAGGCAGTGCACGGGAAGGCAGCTTGCCCCCTGTCACTTGTCTCTTTCCCTGCCTCCTCTTTTCTGTTGCTGAAAAACAACATAGTATTGGCTAGACCACTGGTTCAGCATTCATCCAGAAAGAATGCACTGCCTATTAAACCATCAAAACCACTTTCTACTGTATTGAATGATGGTGACATTGAGACATTTTGGAAGATTTTAATTTTTTTGCTTGACCTTGAGTAATCTGAGGTTTTATGGGATTATTAAAATACAAAGATCAGGAAGCTAGAATTAAAATTTCCAGACATTTATGTTCTGAATTCCTAACTTCTTCAATTTAAAATCTGAACAGTAATATTATATTTTCAATATAGTTTTGCATTAGCTGTTATAAATAACACTGTTTAAGAAAAGAAGTCTTAATGAACTGTTTGGTACTTCTATACTTATAGACACCTACTTTTTGAGCTTTTATGGTACCTGAGATTTTTATGTTGAAAACTGATGACTCTCAGATGTAGAAAAATAAATTCTTTCACTATAATGTTTGTACTTAGGGCATAACTTTCTACTGGAGATCTCATTTTCATCTGAAAAGACCATAGATTTTCCTAGAAACTGAAAAATGTTAAAGGTTGCCTGCTCTAAGTCATCTTGCCATATATTCCCTGCAGGGTTTTATCTTGTGGAGTCGCATGAGTCTCTTAACCAGAAATAGGGTATTGTCAATAACCATCTTTTTCTTAATTTTAATAATCTGTCCCTCAAACACCATAATCAGAAAAAAGTTAAATATTGCTTTCTTCTGTACATGTGAACTAAGAAATAGAAGAATGAGTGGTGTAAACCCAAAGTTTCACAAAATATAACTGTCTCGAATGTAGGGTCTTTAGTGTTTTAAATTTGTAGTAGATCCTATTGTCTTAGATGGAAATTTCTCTTAGCCAACAGCTAACTGTTCAACAAGAAGTCTTGTGTCTGACACTAGGCATATTGTGTAAAATACAGTACTTCTAAGCATGTACAGCATTTCGAAGTATTAACCAGTAGGGACAGAGAGTTTGGATTATATCGCCATGGTTTAATGTAAAGTAGAATTATTACATCAAAGATGCCCCAGCAGTCTGTCCATCCTCGGGACTGGCTAACTGCCAGACTGGGAATCATTAAACCAGTCCTTTTTTACCTTTGTGTAACAGTTTCAGAGAGAGCATATTAAACGGGATTCAATAAGAAGGCCTCTAGGTAGATTTATGTTCTCTGCTTTCCTAGACAGCTGCCTCCAGGAAAGGAGAGAACAAAGAATTTATTTACAAGTTTAATTAAAAAATACTTAGTCATAGCAGTAGAAAAGAGTGAACCAGTCTTTCTGAAGTAATTACCAAGAAGTACTTAAATAAATTTAGTTAATTATTAAAACAAAACAAAAACTAAACCTGATTCATTAATTGTGTGAATATTTTACTTTCTTTAGTAGATCTCTCCTCACCAAGTTTACTTAAAACATGGGTAGTCTTCAGCTGTAAATTACTAGAACTGAGACTTGCAGCCATAGACCCTAGGAAACATTTTCTACTTTTAGGTCATGTTGTTCAGCCCTTTCAGCCTGTGTAGCTCCTTCTGGTCTGAGATCCCAGTCCTACTACAGCTTCAGCTGAGAATCCTAACCAAAAGATGCTTTTGATGACTATATTTTATGGCTGTTTAGCCAAACATTATATGGTACCTGCTGGTGTTGGCTTCCCAGAACTGTCTGATTTGTTTCAGTGCAAAACTTTTAAACCATGTGGTGATATTTCAGCAAGCAAGAACCAACATTCTGTAGAATAAATACAAAATATGCCTGTGTACCATCTTTATCCTCCAGGAATCTCTAGCAGTTCCTTTAATAATACTTTTTTAAATAAACGGAATAAAATTGTATTAATTTCATTTCCTTTTTAAATTCCTTTTCCCTATCCAAGGAGCATTTTTGTAACAAAATAACAGGATAGTTGAACACCAGAGATGCCTTTTGCTGCAGGCTCAGTCTTCCTTAGTTGACTTGTGAGAGAAACAAGGCTACTACAAAAATAATTTTTAAGAAGCATGTAGTTTTAAACTGAGGAGACTTGTTAGGCCTAATTAATAGGTATACTGCAGCCAAGTATGGGACTGGGCTGATAAGAATACTTTTGTCATTTGCCACGTGCCGGTATTAGGATAGAGCCTATTGTAGCCAGAGACCCTGGCGAGTTACCAACATAGAAAGGAGTCTTTGAAAAGCCTTCCACTTAGACATAATTCTTCTGCTTTGACAGTTTTCCTCTGTCTTATATTTTTATTATCAGGAATACTTTGAATTGAAATGGTAACAGCGTCCCTTTATCTGGTCCAGATGTTCACTTTCCCAACTGAAATTGTTGCTGCAATGATAGCTGTATAAAAGGAAAGTCAGCAGTAGGAACAGATGCATTTTTTAAGTGGGTGATGGCTGCCATTTCCATGGAAAATATACTTAAAAAACTGAGAAAAGAGATCCATCTATATATTTTTTTCTAAACAGATTATTTTCTCATACTCCTATAAATGAAGTAATGTTAGGTCTTAAATTTTACTTAAATGTCCTGTCAAGTTTGCTTTTGCAAGTTTGCTTGAGAGTGGCAGGGAAAACATTTTAGTTAACATATCAAGTAGTACTATGTAAATTAAGTAAATGGGAACTCCTAACTTGACTACCCTGCAAACAAAAAATGCACTTTTTCCTACATGCTACTGGGAGCTTTCTGTTCCAGAGAATTACATGGAATATTAGAGAACCATATATATACAGGAGGTGCAGTAGGGAACTGCTAATAAAGTGTTATACCCATGAATTTTCTTTCCTGCCTGCTTAATCCTGGGTTCCTCTTTTGATATGATTTTATGATTAATGTGAATTAGAAGAAATAGAGTATCTGGAGCTGGAACGACAAAGTGTTTGGTTGTTTTTTTTAAGAGAAGAAAAAAGCAAGCTGCCTCCTATGTGCTCAATTTAGGATCTGACAGTTTGCATAGCAAAAGGCTTTTCTTTCCATGGATAGCCTGTGAAGTAGTACAGAGAAATAAAACTTTAAAATCAAAACAGTGTGTCTGAGCCTTCTGTAACTAAATGAAAAATGGTATGATCCCTTGCAACAACACTGTACTGATGTGAGGAAGAAGCTGGTGGCAGAAGTAAAACTTGGTTTGATACATATTACCTGTCAGAAATAGCTCAAATACTGATTTCTCCCCCCTAATCTTTTGAATGCCTTTGACCCTAAAACACTTTATAGTGTCCCTATGAAGTAAGTAGTGCATCTTTTTTTCCAGAGGGGGGGATCTAGCATAAAAGTTGAAACACTTAAAATCAGCAACTTTGTGACAAAGCTAGAAATGTCAGGAGGAGTTTTGACTCCCTGATCCTGATATAAGCTGTTGGTTTATTCACATTTTTCAAAACTGGGATATGTTTCTGGTTTCTGTCCTGGAATTGACATGTTAGTCTGGCATCCAGAAAGTACTGCAGCTGACTGTGGGAGAGTTTCTTTAGCCTAGCTTGTGTTTCTTTCAGCTCCTGGCCAAGGTGCAGGTAGGGGTATTTCTGTCCTGCTCTGTTCTTTGGAGTTTGAACTGTTTCAGGCTATCTCAAGTGGGATATGGCTAATTTACATGAAGAGCTGCATTGAACCCCTGATGGGTCCAGAGTCCAGGTCACACACTGGAGATTCAAAGCAGTTTTCTTGCATGTTTACTGCAACCTGTCACTGTGAGAGAGAGGACAGGATTTTTCCTGTTGTGTTGAATATACAGTGATCAGATTATTTGATCAAGGTGCAAGTATGAGCCGTCCAGTTTAGAACTGGAAACATGTGCCAGGTTTAAAGAATACAGATTTTCACAGAAATTGCTGAATATGCACAAATGGGAGAAAGACCAGTACTAAATATAATGGCTATTTTCAGTAAAACACACTGGACCATTTCCAGTATGCCTTGGCCTATTTGGATTGCTGAATCCATTTATTGGCTAGTGACTGGAATCTAAATGAAAGCCTTCAGTCGTAAAGAGCCAGGTCCAAGAAAAGATTTGGGTTCCTATATCCAACCAGACAATTGACAAATACCCTGTTTAACCCTTTAGGCAGCTGTGACAGGTCACAGGTGTCTAAGTTTTTTCTGTTAAAAGATATTACTTTAGCACCTAAAGAAGCCAGAGGTAGGACAACAGAAGTATAAGGATGACAGCTAAAGGTTATATGTGGTATGAATACTCTGTGTGCGCTTTACACAAATTCAGAGTTGCTTTAGTTTTTTCCTATGTGGTTTGGAATGAGCCATGAGTGCTGTTTGGATTAACTTTTCTTTTTCATTATGCTGGCACAACCTTGCTGAATTTAGTGGGATTCCAGTAGCGTAACTGAGAGTATATTTTGCCTCATTGTTCTAGCTAGTCAGAAAATTTGGGTGACAATTTTCTGGAATAAAAAAATTGTTGTTCAGTCCTTTCCATTAAATTTTCCCACCTGTCTTCATTTTTTGGTGTGCTGTACTTAACTAGAACATGTTCTCTGTGAATCAAATTGTAGATACCCTGTAGCATTATTTCTTAAGATATACTTGCATGGTCTTGTGAAGAAGGGTCCTTTTAACGTGTCTATACAACAGAGAAAAGAATTGTGATTACTCATGGGGTTTTGCAGCTTAAAGTTTTATGTTTGTGTAATTAAAATTTCAAGTTCGACTTATGTGTTCATGCATCTTTTGCACATAATAAAACAGTAACCCTCTGGATAACCAGGATAAAGATGTTGTGGGTTTTTAATCTGTTGGACAGCCTTATGCTACCACTAGTCCAGCTGTTCTTGTTCTTGAAGTGAGCGACTTCATTGGGAAAAAAAAATCAGGTCCTACATCGAGCTGGAGATCAATATTTTTATTTGTTCCTTTGTTTCTCAGTACTGCAGGGCCTGGCTGAGGTTTAGGGAGCATCTGGAAGATCAAATGTTTAAATTGGCAAGGGAAGAAAGACATTGTAGCACAAAATACTAGCTTCATTTCCTTACCAGTCTCTTATGCCTGCAGCTTAAAACACATATTTCTTTCCAAGAACTACCTGTACCTCCTGTTGGAGGTTTAAAAATGAAAACTGTTTGAGTTGTGTGGTGTACCCACAGCATCTGTAGAAAATAGAGCCTTGACCATTTATTTTATGCTAATTCCTTCCCACGTATGCTCTGTCCATTTCCCTCTGGCCAGGAATAATGTATGAGAAATTTTAGTCTAAGACAACAGGAAATATGTGAAAATGCAGTTTTAAAGTAAGTGTGTCATCACAGTTATGTAGTCAGTTATCCAGACTGTAACAATATACACTGTTGTGTTGTGGACAAGACCTCTTTTGTCTTCCATTTTTCAGCTCTTAGTGATCTAAAACATGCTACCCCTCTCACTAGTGGCCTGGCATCTTTATGCTCTCCATGTACGTTTTCACAAGGCTTCATCTGTGTATGTATCCACTCCATGGTCTACACCAGTCTCTACAATTTCTCTACTTCTCTCCTGCACTTTTTCCCCCTATACTGCATCCTCTACTTATGCCTGAGACCAGCAATGGGAAGAAGCTGCAAAACAGCCTCCTATGAGGGAGACTAGCAAGGCATTTATGATTCATACTAAGCAACATTATCAGCCTGAACTATACCTTTTTCATGAAGCACTCCAATGACCCTTCCTGCCCACAGGGGATTGGCTGGTCCTTACGGAGAATAGATGTGCAGTGCATTTATTGGATTCTCTAAAGCTTTAATATTTTTTCTTGTATCTGCTCCAAGAGCTTTTTCAAAAGTTAATGGCTCTAATTCAAACCATTTTTTCCAAAGTTGGCCAAGTCCTGCTTGCAGCCTTGGAACTGAGAGATACTTGCATGCTGTATGAGAATAAACTCCAGGTTTAAGAGTTCAGCTGTTTTCCTTGACCAAAGGCAGTGTAGGGTATTTACAGCATGGAATGTCTGTATGTGTATCACTTAATACCTTATTTAACTCCCTTTCCCTCAGACTTCTCAAAGTAATTCACTTTTGAGGCAAGAACAAGGATGCAATTGAAAGACAAAAGGAGGAATTTTTTTAGATCGTTATGAACATACTGAAAAGGGCATAAAAGAGGATTTTGTAGCTGAGACACCTGAAGACTTAGGCCATTAATTTGTAACCTATATGAACATTCTCTTCTCATCTGCAGTAGCATCCAATCTAGGAAATGTTATCATTTTCAATCATTGTCTTTTGAAGGTCTTGGTGCCTCTGGTTTTGCTGCAGCAGTTCCTGATGGAGTTGACAAACCGGGGCCAGGAGCCGCTCAGCGCACTTGTGCACTTTGGAGTGACATATCTAGAAGATTATTCTGCAGACTATATAATCCAACAAGGCGGATGGGTAAGAAGGCAACAGTAAATTTCATATCCCTTTGAGAGTGTGACTCCAGATATGTGGTTCGACTCATGCTCTGCTAGTCATTCTACGGTGAGGCTGAGAGGATTTGCTAGTGGTCAGCATGTGAAGGTGAGAGCAGTGATGACTTGGTCTCCAGAGAAAAGGTGGCTTAGATTCTTAGGAGGAGATATGGCTTGGGTTGGGTTTACAAGGGCTGTCTGAGTTGAAGAGGGGTTCAGATGGAAAATACCGACTGGACCTTGTACTGAACATATTAAGACATAAATGTTGCTGTTGTGTGGCTGGCTTTTGATGAGATGCTTTTTACTTCTGGTATGTAGAATATTGCATTTTGGAAGCAAGTCCAGTGTCCTAGAGTTGCAGATGCGTTGAGCCAGAGAGGTCAGTCTGTATAATTTTATTTTCCCACGGTGGATAAATGTTGGAAATTGTTGGTATAGTATTTTCTCTCCTTTCACAAACTTCAGATTGTCTTTGGCAGAGGATGAACAAGCTCAGGAGTTCTGCACAGGAAATGCAGTAGGTGTCAGATTTGCCTTTTTTAATACACCATGTTAATCAGCATTTTTAATGCACTATTGGAAGGCATTCAGATACTACAATGATAGGGGTTGTATAAAAATCTGTGGAATAAGCAGACCCCCTTGTAGCAAAATCTTCTTGCAGAAATTGTGTCTTAGATTGCTGTTTCATATTCATGGCAAATTGAGAGTTGTATTTAAAAAAACATTCACAGTGCTTGTATTAAAGTGGGGCAGGTCCAGTACTGTGAATCTACCAGAAATATAGCTCCTAATCCCTGCAGTTTGCATGCGGCTTGTTGATGTATTGGCAATTCAGCTGGAGCTGTATTATGACAGGCTGGGCTTTGAGATTTATTTGTTTCTGGAAGGTTGCCAGATTTAAACAGAATTAATCTGGGATTAGCGAAATGTTAGTTGGTCTTACTGTAGAAGTAAAGCTGGTCAGGAAAATCCACTGATTAAAAAGTCGTAACAGGAAAAATTATGTTTGGATAGCTTCTCATTTTTCTGTGTTTTCAGTGGAAATTTCATGGGGAAGTGGTTCTCAACCTTTTTAAACTCAAGGGTGCCCTTGTTAGACTCAAAGCACCCCTAGGGAAAAGCCAGCTCTTAGTTTTCACTTGCTTTTTGACTACAGAAAAATAATAGAGCAAGTCTTCTGTTGCAGAAGAACTCACAAAGGCCGCCACAGGTCAGAATGGTTTTAATGCTCTGAATTCCTATTAAATCCCTGGGTTTATCATGTTTGCACAACTAACAGTGTTGATATTGTATGACACCCCCGCAGCACTCCTGAAAGGCTGTCAAGGAATCCCAGGGTGCATAGCACCCTGGTTGAGAATCATTGTTTCAGGGAGCAAACTGTTTCATACATTCATTCCCTGACTTTTCCCTCTTCTTGGCAACAGGGTTTGCTGCTTCTTTCTGCTGGTGCTGTTAGGTTGCTTTCCAGATATGTTTGTCTTTCAGTTTTTGCCAGATGGGCAGGACTGTCATATATGCATTTCAGACCTTAATTAAATACGTGCAGACATTGGCTTTGGTTGGTTAAGATTCCAGTTTGCAGTTTTAAGGCAGAAGAATGTATTGGTATCATGCTCTTTATAAATTTGGCTTTTGGTGAATTGTCATTAAATAGGCTCATGTTTGTTTTCCAGCTCCACTTTTTTATAACCATACATTACAGAACAAAGCTGTTGAAAATGGACTGCTTCCCCCTGTGGCTGTGGAGGGTGGGAGCTCATGCTTTGTGTTGGCTGTGGGATCATGTATGTGGCTGACTGGCCTACGTTCCATGGACTGTGCTCTTGTCTGTATATATCCATTCAGGCAAAAAATCAGAATGACACAAGCAGTGTAGTAAACAAGCCAGAGCTATTTTTGAATCGGGAGAAAAGGAAAGAAAACTAAACAAAGTGGTGAGAAAAAAAAACCCTTTCTCACTGAATAGATATGGCAACAGTAACTTCCTCAGCTGTTCCCAGGTAGGGGCAGGGACCCTTATGTACATGGTTTCAGTAGAAGGGAATGAGTATGGTTTTATCCTTTGTTTCCTGTAAGGGAAATGTTTGGTTTTATTAGTTGATACCTGCTTTTTTCCCCTTCTGTTTTAGATTAGGAAGTATATAATCCACACGATGTGCGCCCCTTTATGACAATGTGATGGGTGGGGAATGGGGTATATCCTCAGATTCTGGAATGAAAGTAGGGCATTTTTTTATGTTTGAAGTGAACAGCACTGCATACATGCATACATAAGAAGCTGTTAGGTAAAACCTATTTCATGGCTACTTCTAAACAGCACCTGTGGGAGTAGTTCTATGTGGATTGAAGCATATTACCTGGGTTCCCATATGCTGCAGCTGTGAGGGGATAGCATTGCCGTGGCTATCTGCAGTGAATTATCATGGTGAAAATGCAAGTTGTGCCTCTGGTGTGGTCCTGCAACTGTGTGAAGCAGGTGCAGCCAGGTCTCTAGTTGGTTATTTTTGACATCCTGAAGCTGTGCAAGAGGAACAAGCCAAGTGCAGCACTGCTTAGTTTGAGCTCGTCTAAAACTGAAGAAATGGCAAAATGACCTCTGCCCATAGTCTTGGGCAGTCACAGCAGAGGAAGGGGTTTAGGAGGAGATTTTTGTCAGCATGACTGTCTCTCTTCTTAGGATCACCGTGTAGGCTAGAGTTCACTCTTAATTTTTCAAAGCAGAGGGTCATCTTTTAAGTTGGATTCAGCCTCTTTCAAAAATTAGATATTCAGGATGTTGAGATAAGCTGAGCCTTCCTTCTGTATGATGACTTCCCATGGAGCCAGTATTATTTGGACACATGATCCAATCAACTTCACTCTGCTGCAGTAATAAGGATAATGCTTTTTCAGTCTTGTGCATCCCCAGAATGTGAGCAGTTTCTAGTTTTAGCCTGTTTTGAGGGGTTGGGAGATGTTTGGGTGTGGGGAAGTGGCTAAATTCAGTGGTTGTGAACCCTTCTAGAGTTGAGGCACCCTTCTTCAGATTTCAGGCACCCATTGGAAAGTGCTAACGCTTAATTTTCATTAATTCTTTAACTACAGA